ACTTGGCGGGCTTCCACTCCGTCTGCCACACTTGAGTTACTTTCGCTGGCAGCAGCAGCAGCAGCAGCAGCAGCAGCTGACAAAGCAACTTAGTTTATAATATTTTATAATGCAAGCGTTTGAGCCGCATAACAACAAAGCGAACAACTGTCCAACCAGCCCAGCGCCAAGAGCTGCTGCACATAAAAAGTTGTATCTTAAACTAGGTTTTAATAGATTGGCAAATGCCGAAAATTGATTACAGATCCATGTCTTCTGTGTGTTTAAACATATCGCCCACATACTCGTAGGCTAGCTTCAGTAAATACTGAAACGATTTTTTCTGTGGCAGTTCACCCAGCTCGGCGCTGTCCAGAAAATCCTCCATGGGCGGCAAAACGCTGTCGCACTCCTGACCCATCAGCTGCGACAGTTCAATCACCTTGTAGAATAACAGCTTGTGTATATAGTCGAGCGCATTGTTGGTATCATAGTCCGTCCAGTTGTCGCGACGTATGATCGCACACCAGATCTTGTGTCGCAAATCGTACGGCTGATCCACATAGCTGAGCAGCTCCAAGGCCTTGCGGAATTCGACTTCGGTGGCGCTTTCGTTCTCTTCAGCGATGAAAAGCTGCAAACAAAAATTGATATATTATAAATCAGCTGATACTTCACATATCGACTATATGGGAATTACATTGATAATCTCCTCCACTTTGAGCACCTTCTGATCAGTTGCATCAAAGCCGAAATTTTGCAATACATCGTGACCCAAATGGGATTGATATTCAATGATAACCAATTCAGCATTAATTTTCTCCACTTGCGCTGTCAAATCAACTTCGGCCGCTGCAAAGGCGGCCAACTTGGACAGCGACAGCATAGACTTTTTGCGTGCCACATACTCTGTTTCGCATTGGGCCAGCTCGAAGAGCACTTTAGCGCCGCGCTCGAAGTCGCCGTTGAATATGAGCTGTATCCAGCCGAGCGACGGATGATCGCGCATGAATTGCGCCAATGCTGTCTGGTTGCCCTTGAATCGTTCAAAGACCTCACCATGCCGCTGCTGACGCAGATGCCAATTGATGGCGAACTGTGAAAAGTCATATTCCTCATACTTGCGCGTATAGTCATCCAGACGATCCTTATCCTGCGTCTCATCACAAATGAGCACCAGACTCTGGAAGTCCAAATATTTTTCAGCCAGCTTGGCAGCACATTCATACTGTCGCTCCTTGACTGCAAAAAAACAATAGAGTTAATAAATTGGGTTAAATTTAGTCAAAGATTATACTCACTTAGCATCGAGATTAGGTCGCGTCGCTGCGACTCGAACTGCTGCTGCAGCACCTGAAACTTTTCCGTATCGCGCACGCTCTCCAAATAGTTCTTGCGTCCTTCGAGCACAATGTCTGCCAGCTCCAGTATTTGCTGATATAGCATATGCTTCTGCTCTGTCTCGTTGACGCACTGCGCAGCGTAGCGAACGCTTATTTCTATGAGGCGGGTCAGGGCATCGTGAGCGCCGGCAGGGCCCGACATGGCAGTCCAGGGTTGGTTTTCATATGAATTGGCGGTTAGCTTAAAGCTGCTGACATTCTGTTCGCGAAACCTCAATACCTGACCCAACGTGCCGAGCACAATGGAGTTGATATCGGCGACGAATTGCGCCACTGAAGCTGTGGTCCTATTTTGAGCTGTAATACGATCGTCTGCCATGTCCGCGAATGCCCCAAAGATGCATTGAAATTTGCACAGCTTAACATAAAAAATGTCCTGGGTAGTGAGGCTGCCCTGTGGCTTCTCATCCCATTGGGCAACGGTTATGTCAATGGCCTCATCCACCAGCTTGGGCATTTTAGATTGCATCGCACGCAATGCCGTTGCTGCCACAATTTTTTCACTTATATCGGACAGTATGTAGGCTGTCGGCTTGAGCACATTGCTGCCACAAGGTATGGCATTGAGCTGAAAATAACATAGGCAGACATATAAGGAATTATATCAGAGGAAGAGATAGATTCTACGCACCTTCTCCCAAACTGCGCTAAAGTGTAGGAAATCGATAAAATGCTGCAGAGCAATGCTCTTGTCGCGTAGCTGATTAATAATTTGCATGGAACGGGAGCCGCCCAGGGCGTGACGATTGCCTTCGTACTCCTCGATGGCCGACTGCCAGCGCGGATCAGCAATGGGCAAGTCCTCAGCCAAGTCCTCGGCAATGGTGATGACAACTCTGCCAATTGACAATGCATTAAGCAAAGCTTTATAATTGCAATTCTATTAAATCCACCTGTCTAGCTTGTAGGCATCCAAGGGCGCACCTTTCGGATCGGATTCCGCAATGCTCTCCATTAGATCCGCAATGATTGTGTTCACCATGTTGTTGTTACGTTTCAGCCTATACAAGAAGGCCGCTTTGAGCTGACCCACCTCATTGTTGAGCTCGGTGTACACATCATCCGGATCTAACTGATACATGGGCAAACTATTGGAGCTGTCGCCCAACATGCTTTGATCTGGCGCACTAAAGCTCGCATTAAACGAGATGGGCGCAAATAGATCTGGCGTATTGCAGCTGCTCATGTTCAGCAAATCGGTGCTGTCAAAGTCGCCGGGCGTTATGGATACCAGGCCATGGGTGCGGCTGAAGAAAAGCGGCAGATGGTTGCAGACAGCGGCGCTAAGTATACGATCCTCATGCAAGTGGAACTCTACTTTCTCGGCTTCCATTTCGGCTGTGGGCGCCGCATTTGACAAGAGCAACGGATAGATCACTTTGGGCGTGTACAGATACATGTGCGAGGGGCCCACAATGATGCGCACGCTGAGACACTCCTGCACCGTCTTGTTACTATAGAATTTGTTAAGCTTCAACGGCGTAAAGCACTCCAGCTGCATGCCCTCTGCTTCTGCCTTGGCCACCACTAAAAAAAAATGGAATTAGTCAGCTTAATTATGGGGCAAAGGATCCAACTGAAGGCTAACCAATGGCGTAGTACATTTGCGGCGTGTGTGCCGGGTTGACAGCACCCACGAGTATATAGTAATTGCCTCTGACCACATGGAAATCCATAAAATGCAAATCCACCTCAACATTATCGTTGGGCACACGCACATTCCAAAACTTAAATAGCAGCATATCACGTATTTTCCGCAACAGATCCACATCCTCGTATATCAGCTGCTCCGTGTTGCCCTTGTTGGATAGACGCCAGCGCTGGAGTGCTCGATCTGAGAGCACCGCCACGACAGATTCGCCGTTCTTTGTGTCACTCTCAGAGCACATGCCTACTAATAACTAAAAAAGACGATTACAGTTAGCTATTAGATATTAGCAGTATGAAGGAGCGCTCACCTGATCCCTGTCGCTTCCGCTATTCATGCCAATCAGCATGGAAGCGAATCTTTTGCCAAAGCCGCCCAGAAAACTCGTCGCTGGCTTGATGGTTTTGTGGTGAAGTGTATAACGGCCACTGGTGAGGCCTACGCGCAGGAACACTAAAGTGCAGGTGGAGGTTATAGCCAAGTAGCCCTGCTGTGTGGGTAGATTGAGCAATTGCACAAACTCCTGGCCGGTAAGAATGGATATATCCACAGAATTGTTATCGTGTGCTATAGACGCCCAATAGCGAACCTCGCCTGTCGCTGAGATCGCAATGCAGGAGGCCATCTGCTGGCCCTCTGTCTGAAACACGCTAACCAATTCGCTCTTGTGCCCAATATCGCTGTAGGGTAGAGTCAGTTCGCGGCACTGGGCCGAGGTGCCGGCACGTCTTAACTGTTTGCCAAGTCGCGGTGGCGAGCCTGTCTTAACACCACCAGACGATTCCTTATACTGCCAAATTAATAGACGACGACCTTGCACAATCTGCAATTATTTATGGATAAATTAGTAGACAGATGCCGTATATATAAAGTAGACTGTGTTGATAATTACCCACGCCCAGCCACTTTGTGTTATTTTCGCTGAAACTGTGCTCGCACCTGGTCCGGCAAAGGTCAGAGCCTCGTTTACGGCCACGGGCAGCGCATGGCCATAGCTTTCCACGACATTGTAGTCGGATCTGATACCCGGTATGGACTGGGTGGTGGAGCGCGCGGATAAGCTCAAGCGACTGTTGCAGCATATTGATACATATTAGTGCATTATCACAGATAGTATATATATTGTATACTATACCTATTATTCAGTGCAGTTTTTTTTAAGCCACCCGGCAATGGCGAGTGGCCAAGGTTGGCGTTGCCGCCAAAAAATGATTTGCGTGTGTTATCCGCTGCCGCGGGCATACTTAGCCGCCGCCCACCCGGCGATGACTCTCGTGAAATGCTATACAGTTGTTTTTGCATGCTTCGCTCCATTCTTTTTTGTTAAATAAAACAATTCAATTTATAAACAAGAAACACATGTACACTGAGCAAATTTCGCCGGCAACAAGCCATCGATAGTTGCGGTTAGTTAAAGTTTTAGCAATCGGCCGTTCTTGTATATTCATCGCGTATATCGATAGTTTCACTCAATGTTACAGCAATAATCGCCACAAACTGTCATTACTAATTTTAGTCGCCTCATATAGTATAAATGTACCAAAAATGGTACATTATCATTTTATTCGGAATGATACTGTTTTCTTATTTATTGAAATTATGTTCGATTGTTTTACTTATTTTTTTACTTGTGTTGCTTTAATTAAACCAATATATATTGGCTGTATATACGCTATATATAGGATTACTTACTTGCTATGCACACATTTGGAGAGAGATATGTTAACTTATTGTTATTGTTATTGTTATTGCGTGTAATTAATTAAATTTCGAATAACATTTATATTGTTGAGTGGCTTGTTTTCATTATATGTATTTATTATTGGATGTTTGAAAATATGGTTAGAAATAAATATTTATTTAGGTTCTGTTACATTTTAAGCAGCAACCGTAATTCAAACCGCCGCTTTTGATATTTAAAAAATGAACTAGAATCAGGCTCAATAGAACGACAAAAAGGGACTCAGTTTGTTCTTTTTAGTGAGTCGTTCCGGTGAATTTCAAGATAATGATTTGCTGCAACTCTAAATTGCATATTAAATCGTAAACAATCTGCAGTTTGTTACTTTTTAATGGCCACCTGGACACAAAACGCACCGACAGGTGTCAGTAAACGGAGGCGCTGGAATCTTGAAGGTATTACTATGCACAGCAGGCTGTGAAATGTGTTTGTAATGCAAAATGAATATGCTCCTGGTGCCTTTAGATCGCGCCTCGCTGAACAAACTGAAGGAACACATTGCCGAAGAGGGTTGCCCTCAGGTTCAATACGATCTGGGCAAGAAGCTGCTGGAGAATGCGATTGGTATGTACCCGTGAGCGCTGGGAAATGCCAATAACACGCTTTATATCTCCTCCACAGAACCCAACGTTGCCAATGAGAGCCAGAAAGCTGTACATTGGCTGGTCAGTGCTGCCCAACAGGGCCATGAGGAGGCAGTACGCTTGTTGCGCAAATGCTACAATGCCGGCAATGGCATTACGGCCGAAAACGCGGACGAGGTGCGCCGCTGTCTGGCCATGACACCGGGCGAGCGTGCCGCACGCAAAGCAGCCCGCGAGCTTTTCGCTTGCTTGTCCAATGGCAACGAGCATATTACGCCCAAGCAGCTGGAGCGCAAAATGAGACGCATTTACAATTTGCAACGCAAGCGGCGTCGTCGTGGAGGTGACGATGCCTCCTCATCTAACACGGATGAAGATAGCAGCGAGTGCGAGCGGGAACCTTTAGAAGATGCCGCCACCATTGGCCGTGCAAATGTGGAGCGTCGTCGTTTTATAACCGAGGCGCATCTGGTCTCGGCTGCCTCTAACTATGCCGCCGGTCGAATGCCAGCCGTCAATGAGAACTTGACCCTGTCCGTGCCGCATCCGGAGAGCTTGGATCATGTGCCCTGTTTCTATCGCATGATCTTTCATCCGCTGGTGTTCTTTACGCTACTATATCATCGCTTCATCAACCTGGTTGTCGCACTGCCCGCCATGCTACCCCTAAGCGTGCGGTGCAGTCTGCTGGTGCTGCTCAGCTGGTGGAGTACCGTGGAGGATAGCGAGCGCCATATGCTGCCCTTGATTAGCTACTATTTAAGTCTGGGCGTCATGCTGTGGGCCACGTGTCGCATGCTAAAAACCAAACAGCAATTCGTTGACTTCCGAATCTGGTCTGGACTGTTTCTCAGCTACGGCGATCACAACATTGAGGCGGAGATATCGGAGCAGCGCTTTTTGCGTAACAACATGAAACCGTATTTGTATTACTTCTGTGCATTCATTTGTAATCTGATTGTCTATCCGCTGGTAACAGACGCCTGGCTGCCGCACTCCGAGCTGACCATCATCTCGGGCGCCAGCACGTTCATCACTCTGGGCGTCTTCATGTACGCCTCGTCCCAACTGCTGCCCGATTGGCTGGTCATAGTTTCCTTTGCCGTTAATGTGCTGGCCAAGTATCCGTATGAACTGGACGAGGTTGTATCCACACACTGGCGCTTTCTAGATCTCCGTGTACCCACATTCTCCTCCTTTGTGATTGGCAATGGCATTGAGTTTTGCTTGAATTGCCGTACTGCTCTCTATCTGCTGATACCCATTCTTCTTGTGCTGCTGGCCAAACGTTCTGGCTGGCATGGCGCCTACACTTACTTAATCCCACACTGCGTCACTCTCAGCTGGCTGCAGGTGTGCATTGTCACCTCCCAGAGTGCCACCGTCTTTGGTGCCATGCGTGCTGCTCTGGGCTTGGCAGGCATCGTCTTGTTCCTGCCCCTCTTTGGCGTTGTGGCGCTCCTGGTTCCCGTTTTCGTGGCAATTGACAGCCTTGGCTTGACCAGCGAGCATTTGCGCTGGGGCACCACGGCCATCGCCTGCGCCCTGGTGATCCTGCTCTCTTGTGTCCTCGCTCTAAATCGTGCCACCCAGAAATACATCACCATGTTGCAGGTAAGTAGTTTTAATATTGAATGCCAACAGTTGCTTCTATATGTTCCGCCCATAGCTGCTTGTGGGCTTCACCACCGCATGTGTGCTGGTCTTTCCCTATATGACGTCTAGCTTCAAGGATACTCCACGTTATAATGCCATGCCCACTGTGCTATCGAATCCAAATGTGGGCATGCATTCTCTGCCCGATGCACTTCAATGGGAACGCTTTTATGAGCTGTGCGCACAGCCAGTCCAGGAGCAGCCAAACAAAATCAAAGCCCAGCTGCGTTGCTCCCATCTCAATGGCATGTACGTGGCTTGGGAGGGCAGGATCACACACGTCCAGATTGCTCGCGTGTCCAATATGCTGGAGGATGTTGTTTCTAACTATCTGCCCACCTGGTTGGGCAAGTTGCTACGCTGTGTACATGGCGAGAATATTGCACAGCATTTCCAATGTGATCCCCAGCATGAGGCGCAGTGCGTCGAGTGGCAGCGCGTGATCAAGACGCTGAGTGCACAAACTGGACACTGCACGCTGCAACGTTGGAATCGCTACGAGTACGAGTTGCTCGTTCAGGTGGCGGCCAGCAGCAGCCTGCTGGGTCGCATCTCATCCTCGGACGTGGTGCTGCGCGCCCACCATGACTTTGGGAACTTTACGCAGCGACTGCATCGCGGCGATCGGGTCCTGTTTTATGGCACATTGCACAACTCCCGCGTGCTGGCGAACAACGTGCGTGAACACTATATATTGGGCTCCAGTACGCCGCCACAGGTGGAACTAAAGACCATTGAGTGCTTGGACTGCAAGTCGCCGGATTTGGGCACATTGAGCATACAGCGCACATTGCTCGCCTCGCCGGTGGATGCACGCATGCAGGATTTGATGCGAGGCATCAAGTATTTGTTAAATGCCCTATTGAGTCCATTGATAACATTCAAATAGGCACCCAAAAATATATACAAATATATTAATAAATTATATTTAATTGTTAAAAGCTGTGCTTTCGGCGTAAAATTATTATTCAATTAGAATAATGGGTGTCGCCTCTTGTACATTGGTTATAAGATCGCCGTATTTGTGCTGGGATGCCGACGAATCTTTGCTCTCCTTTAAGGCGGCGATGTGCTCATCCAATTCGTAAAGCTGGCCAAACTGCAAGTGTGGACAGGCGACGCAGGTAAAGTTGGCTTTTATGTTGACAGAGCACAAAGTCTCTTTGCTTTTCTTTGACTTTGACTTGCGTTCACGTTTTGTTCTGGCTAGAAAACCAAATTTATTTTTACTATGCCCATGCTGTGGCGTATTAAATGAACTATCTATTGCTTGCAAGTCAATTTTGCATGTATCCAAGAAATCTTCGGCCAAATCTTGATCTGCGCACGATACATGCAATTCGCATGGCTCCGGGCAAACGAAAAGATTGGGTGAATTAATGAGGAGCTGCACACCAGTTAGTAACAGCTGGCGATGGGTTGGGTTATCTATTCCCAACATGATGAGATCGCTGGTTAATATTTGTTGGCACTGGGCAATGCTTATGTATCCATGCTCTGTAAAGCAACGAACATACTTTTCCATGGTCAGTAAGACCAGCCATTCACGCACTTTTTTTGTACACATTTTTTGTCGACTTGGATTATTTAAAGGAAGCAAACTCTTAATATCTGTCACGCGGCTCTCAAACAGAGGCGCGCAATTCAATTATATTGAATACTTGCGATACTTACTCGATGTCAAGTATCACAAATCAATTTTCGATAAATCGATAGGTAATAAACTAATAAAAAGAATCAGTTTTAGTGTTGGCAAAGTCGGTTGCGCTTGCGAAGCCCATTTCAAATAAATGTTCAGCAAAACGTTGAAATGACCAACGAAAATAAAGGAAAAAAGGTTATAAAGTTGTTCTTGAGATATATTTGCAACAAATGTTATTTTTTTGGAAACACACAACATTTTCAGTGTTGCCATAATGCTGTTTAATAGTCTTTATCACACTTCATTTAACATATGAATGGACTATGTAATACTTAAGTGACTCCAAACATCAATATTGGCACGAATTTCAAGTAATTTATAAGCTGAAATTATGCTAAATTTTAATTCAACTTACTAAATAACTGTTCGTAAGTAAGTTCAGTTCTCTTGAACCAATATGAAACGATAGCTTTGCAGGTAACTTTTGCATTTGCACGTATTCGATATTGCAGTATATCGATGTTTCGTGCTGGCATCTCTAGTGCAAAGTGTATTTAAGTGCCGTTGCGCACGGCTGTCGAAGCAAAATAGCAACACAGACGGACGAGTGCGATTGTCAGCCTACCGAAGTAGTCGTCACTTATCAACAACGGGATTCGAAGAAGAAAAATTGTGAGCAGCAGAAATAGCAACAGCAACATGATACCAACAATAACGAGAAACTATCAGAATGTGGTCATTAGCACGGGCAACATCATCAACAACGAGCTGGGACAGCGCAAATCCAACGAGGAGCTATACGACGGCCTGAAAATCACGCTGCACAATGACCCAAAGTCGGAGAGCGTGGTGGTTGAGATTGACAAGCTGCATGGCCGTGTGCTCTGTGCCACACAGGAGCTGAACAGCAAACTGACGGAGAACGGACGCAATGAGATTAGCATCGGTGCAAAGATATTCCTCAACAAAAACTCCACGGAGTGCATCAATCAGGCAGTCGAGGCACTACTCAACATACTCAATGTGACGCATGTGGACAATGTGGTGCTGGCCTACCATCCCAATGTGTCTGCCGTTGCCAGCGCAACAACTGTGGCCACAACAGCAACATCTGCGTCGGCAAAGAGCCCCTGCTCCGAGGGCACCGACAGCAGCGGCAACGATGCGGCCAACAGCTGGAGTGCACGCAACGGCCCCCAGGGCATAGCTGAATTGAAGCTACTCTACAAGGCCCTCGAGCAGTATGCGGACAAACAACAAATCAAACAGCTGGGTGTTGCCGATCTCGATGCAACCGCTCTGGCAGAGCTATACCGATCGGCCAAGGTTGCGCCCACCATAGCACAGGTGAATCTGGCCGCTTGCTGCGTGGTGCCCGCTGTACTCCAGGAATTCTGTCGCGAGCATGAGCTGGTGCTCAACACACACAGTGATCCCGAGCTGCTGCTGCCCGAGGAACAGTTCGCTGGCCTAGCACCCGGCTACTCGATTGATTGGTCTCTGCGCTACCAGGTGCATGTGCGCTGTCGCGGCGTACTCACGGCCAAGGGCTACATTGTGGGCGCCTCTCAGCCGGGCGCCAATAATTGAGCTTAGCGGCATAGTTCGAAGCTAAGCTGAATTTTTGATATAGTATATATATATATATATATATGTATATATATATATATGTATATGTGTGTGTGTATGTATATGTATATGTATGTATACATGTAGTACTGTACTTATTGTTTGTTATACAAAACCCAAGATCGAGATGAGAACAGAAAAGTGAGAGCCATTCGACTGAGTGCGCGCTTCAAACGATTTGATTGTGAACAGTTTTGCTGATTTTTTTTCTCTTTGAATATAAACAGTTACTGAAACCACTAAATTACCGTTTTGTTTTTCATCTAACAATTATTTGCTACAATTTTTTTTTCTGGCCCAATACACAATCCAGCGAGTGGTATTGGCAACCGGTTTGCGGGCTCACAAAATCAAGTATAGAGGTATGTAATTGTAATACCATATAAACATATACTGTGTGTAAATATACATAGATGTATTCGCTAAAATAACAAACAATCGTTATCGTTAATCGTTATCGTAATCACTGAGGGACAGCGCCTCGTAATGCGAGCTGTTGGGTACATCGCTTCATTTGACCCTTTCCGCATCTGACTCTTGTCTGGGTTTATGTCTGGCCTTAGGCCCCGCACAAATCACGTGGCTGCGCTGCTAGCCGTTATTTTTTATTTATAAACACCTATGTAATCGGCCGTCGGGATTAGAACTGCCGTAAAGGTATTTTAAATATATTGCCGCTGAGATGCTATCAGATAGGAAGTCGCACAAGTGCCACCGGGCGACGCTTCAAGTGCCACAAGAGTAAAAAATAATACAAAATAAACAATGGCAAAAACTTATAATAATAACTTTAACAATATATTGGAATCCTAATCAGTAAGCACTTGAACTTTATAGCCGTTATATACAGTGCCAACCAGAGTGTAGCGCACATTTTCAGTCGTTCTGGCTGCCCAATAGACGGCGGCCTTGCCGCTAACTATGTATGGAAATGTACATACTATGTACGTATGTATGTATGCATACAAATATGTATGTATATATGTATATGTGTTTCTAATTAAGCAGTGTCGTCATCTGTCCAATGCACCAAAGGCTTGCCCATGCATAGTGTGTCCACTTTTGTGGTGAAATTAAATAAATTATTGTCCAGACAAACACACATAAACAAATGTATAGTATGTACATATGTGTGCATATAGAATGCTACATGCATTCATTTGGATACATACATACATACATATATACATTCATGCATTTTAGTAATAAAAATCCCGCTACAACAACAACAGCAAATGTCTAAGAACAAAACAAAAATCGAAAAATTGTTGCTGCCGCTGCCCACAGCGACTGCGAAGTCTTCATGACTTGCGTTTCTAGCCCTAAAGTGTGAGCGAGCTAGCTATATAGCGTGTGAGTGAGTCAGACGAGTATTTAGCTAGCGATCTTCGTGCGTGTGTGCGTGTGTGTGTGTGGGCGTTGTGGGCGTTGTGGGGTTCCAGGCGAAGGGCCTGGAAAGCGTTTCGGCTAATTTCGTCACAGGCGTGCGACAAGTGACGCACGATGACAAGTGATAAACTTCTCAGGGAAATTATCAGATAAAACGCCTTACGCGAATATTGGCTGCAACACGTTTCGACATAAATCAGCTAAATGTGATAAAATGGAACCGCCTGGAAGGTAATCAGTTCGTACTACTATAGTAGAAAATGTTGAGATTTTAAGGCGAATTTTATTTGGAATCAACTGTAACAACTGACGACGACTCACTGACCGTATACTTAATATGCCCGTACTGAAGCAATCATTGCAAACAAAATACATACATATATTTAAATTATGCATGATTTGACGAATATAAGTCATATGTGCATTTGTTTCTGTGATTATAAGACGGATAAATGACTAACTAACTATGCTTATCTTGGAAGTTAGCTAATTCTCAGCCCGTCTCAATTTTACAGTTGCATTTAAAAATAGAATACCGTTGAGTGAATGATCAATCGAACAGGTTCCAATTGGACAATGAACTGAATCTGTCACCGAACCAGTTACCCAGTCTGAGTTACAGCAATACCTTAATTGAAGGATTGATTAAGCTAAAACAATTATTTTTAAATTATAAAATATTATAATTTTTTTAATAACCCAACTGAAATGTCAAAAGTTGGTTTCAGGCATGTGAAAAATATAGTTCACGAACAGAGCCCGAACCTTTAACCGAACTAGCAACCATTTGTTTCTTCGGGATTCCAGCCGTAATGCAGATGAATGTACATTTGAAATGACACCATAACATTTGTTAAGTCTTTATTTAAATTAATTGAATAAGTAATCTTCATCATGTTATTCTTCTGTACTCACATTTCGTTAGCGATCTTTAATATATCTCTCAAGTAAATCATCTTTTGTGTTTCCTTAGTACAGTTTTTAAATATTATTTATAATGGCTGTTTCTTCATTTTAATTGTACATAGTTAACAGACACCAAAAATACACACGGAATCTTTAAGGATTTGTTTTTTTGCTTTTTTTTTCTTTTTTTTGGCTTTTTAGTAGAATAACATGCAGTTCACTTATGGAGTTACATATGATAAGAACTTTTGCCAACATATGCATTTGCACTATGCGCCTTTTGAAGTCTAAAGACATTTCAGCTATTCTAATAAACATTTATCATACATTATAATGATGTACTGTGTATATGTATATATGTATGCATGTGTGCCATAGAGTTTACTTGTATTCGACCTTTAACACCTTAATTGATTAGTTACAATTAGATTGCGTCATAAACTGTATTTCTCATCATATTGCGAATGGAAAAATAATAATAATACCTTGTAAACGATCTCTTTGGGGAACGGACGGCGGTTATTTTGTTTTCTTTTTGACAATAATTTTTGTTTTATTCTTCGCACTAAATAACAAATACAACTAATTAAACTAACACAATTCAATGCGAATCAATTCGTTGTTTTAAATCATTTATGTCAGATCCGAACTGAGCTCTGTATTTGGGATTCGGGATTGGGATCGTGGCTTAAGCTAATTCCTAGCTAGGTTCGTTGCTGTTCCTCGTGCCTTGGGATTGGTTAATCCAGGATAAAAAACTTTATCAAAAAATGTTGAATAAATATTTACAAAAAATTTGTACACAATACATTTGCTGTGTTGGTCGTATCGTAGTCTCATCTTAAATGATTCATAATTTAATATAATGGACTCTTGGTTTATAATAAATTCTCTTAAGTTTTGCCATCTGTTGTTTGTTTTACGGTACGGAACTCCTCTAGCTACAACATTTTGAATAGGTCAGGGTAGAAACTTGAAGAGATTTTAGCTTACAGTTAACACATAGATCTGAAGAACTTTCAGCTAATTTACACATACACATATAGAATAACGGAGTGTAACTATGCATATAACTATAGTTATAGACATTTAACACTTTGCATATTTAGATAGCGCACTTATTTGAAATTCACACAAAGTACTTTATCTGTCATATGGGATGCTTACTGTAGTTGCATAATGCTGATTTCGGCCGTATAGCTAGGGGGCATGCAGAACTTACTAGTACAAGAACCAAGTACTTAGCTAAACACAAAACATTTCTGGACTAGTTGCAAACAACTTTAAGCGGCACACCCGTTTTTACAGGGTATTTCGCGGCATAAACTACATTTAATAAATACAACAATGCAATTTCAATAACTCTGTTTTGTTCAGTTGCTTTTCATTTTGTTACATATCTTCTACATTTAGTTAATGCCAGTATATTTTTAAAAAATATTTCGCATTCTATATGCCAGCTTTACAATCTAGAAACTATGCTTAAGTATTTTGTATAATCCGAATGGAATTGTTAATTGTATTTATAGAGAACACATACAATACACATACATCAAGAGAGTTTTCACTTAAAATGCATTTACATACATTTATATATTCATATATATATATATTCATATATACCGACATTTTAATATAATTTTTAAATTAATTTTCTTGTTCGTTTCAACATTCAGATTTGATATATTAAAAAATGCGTGCGCCTAAAAAATTGCCACAAAAATACAATCAAAACATTTTGTTTGCTAAACTACAAAAATACATACATATATAATATAGTATATGTTACAATAAAATACATATAATTATGTAAAACATAGATATATATATATATAATCTATATGCATTTTAATATTGGTGTAATTTGTTGCACTTACGCTTTAACCAGCTTCTAAAACAACTAACAACAATTAATTTATGTGCCGTATATACATATGTATGTATGTATGCGCATGGTGTGTGTTTGTGTGTGTGTGTGCGTGTGTATAACTATTTAAAATATAATACCATTTCATTACAATTTCATATATAACATCATCTTTTGTCCTCCTCTAACATACATATGTAATTAATTCAGTCTAATTTGGGAATTTGGTCGTCAAACTTGGCTGGGCACAGTGGAGCCCCCCCGAAAAGCAAAAACCAAATCAAGAAGCCAACAATAATAATTAAATGAGTGTGCGTCGTGGGTGTGTGTGTGTGTGTAGCGTACATTTTTGATTGCTAGGGTATTTTAAAGCTATCAGGGCTGCACGTTCAAAGTCAAATCGTCGCTCGTTCCAGTTTACAGCTTCTCAGTTTGTTTCGTGCGCCGGGTTTTCTACAGCGAGAAACTTTTATATAGGTTCAAACTCTAGCTTCTCTTCTCACATTCTTTGCAAGATTTTGAGGAAAACATCTGTTATGGAATGTGGGGAAATGGGCAGTGGAATATCTATTGGTAAATGTTCATAAATTTTGTTTCTTTCAGAAGTTTTAGAATCGATATTAGCTCGTTCTCAAATGAAGAAAGCAAGCAAAAAAAAGTGTTTTGAAAGGTTGTACGAATAAAACTAAATATTTTTTAAACATCACGTCTGCCAAAGAATCAGCAACATTTTGGGCATCAAAAAATTTATGAATCAAAGTTAAAGATAAAACTTAAATTAAATTGAGAAGCGCATGATAAATACATAGATTTATATCGGAGAATATAAAATCGATTGAACATGCCTTACGGCAGCTAAGGAATATTGTATTTTGATTCCTTTGAACAGAGAGAACGGTTTGCTTGGAAAAAAGCAGATGGACAGAAGGACTTGGCTATATCGACATGACTGTTATTATTGTTTAGAAATATATATTCAGGAAATATATTTTTCTATTCGTTAGACATCGGCATAATCTGACGCAAATTCGACCTGATTTCGTTTGTTCCTCTTGCTGCTCATAAAAAACCAAATTGGAAAGACGAGTTGAGACTTAGTTAGCCGCCCTGCTAGCTGTGCAGTCCAGCCTAATTGAGCTATTTCAGCAGCTCTTAAATCAAATGGGATTTGCGATTGGAATGCTCGATGGCCGCCAGCAGCTCATGCTTTTGCCGCACATAGAGGCGGCCCTTCTTCCAGGGACTCTGCAGCTGGAGCGGCTTGAAGTCGTCGCGCAGACAACGCTCCCGGGCGCCAATGACGGCGACGAGGCAAAAGTTGTCCAGCATGTCGGCGCTATAGATGGGTCCCTTGCTGCCCTTCAGCACGGCGGCCATGTTGAGCTGTTTGACGACCAGGTTGATGACCTCGCGGGCGGTTGTCTTGGGCGTCACGTGCAGCTTGAGGCTGGTGCCGCTGGCCAGGCCCGTGTTGTAGGCGGTGTAGACCTGAATAATGCCTGCTCCTGTCGAGCTCTGCTCGGCATTGAGGCTAGAACAGCTGGCCGTGTCCTCCTCGCTGCTGTGTTGCGCCAGGCTCTTGGTGGAGGAGGCCTTCGAGGTGCTGGCCACGGGCTCTTCGCTACTGCCCAGCGGCCTCAGCTCCGGCTGCAGTGCCGACAGTGAGCTCTTCAAATAGAGTCCGCCCTCGCGCAAATTGGCGCTGGAGGCAGCCTTCATCCTGTACTCCGCTGCAGGCTTCAGCGGCTTGTGCTCCAGATCCGTGGCGAAGGCGCCACTGCCCGTGCGCAACGAGACACTGGAGCCAGCCAGATAAGGAGCCGAGCTGGAGCTGTGCACGGTGATAAGCGGCGTGGAAATGGGTCCAATGTTGGAACTGGTGCGTTTGCGCTGCGCGGCGGCTGCTGCCTGAGAATGACGCAGTGCATCCGCCAGCGTGTCATCGGAACGGGAGGGCGGCAGCGCAAAGACGCTGCTGCTGCCATCGGAGGCGGAGTCCGCAGCAGAGTAAAAGCTGCGCGCAGTGTAAGCGGAGCTCACGGAGTCGCCGCTGTTCTTGCGCAGCGAGACATCCGAGCAAGTGGAGGCGGCGTACTCACTGCTCGTCACCTGGAGCAACTGCTGCTGCTGCTGCTGCTGTTGTTGTTGCTGCTGCTGCGGCTGCTTGTCGCGTTCGTCTTGAAGCGTGGCCTGCGCTGACGTTGGCGTTTGGGCGCTCTGACCCAAATTCGTTTCAGATTTGGAATGTTCCGGCTTGTTTTGCCTGTTACAATCCTCGTTGGAACCCGGACCGGGCCAGCTGCCGCGACCTGTCTTGCTGAACCTGGTCTCGCGCAGCGGTAACTGTAGCAGCTGCTTGCCGTCGCCTTCCTCGTGTCGTAGCTGGGCAAAGTCGAGTATTTCGCGCATGGCCAGCGCCGGCTGGGCATGCTTATTACGCGCATAGGCCACCACATCCATTAGCCAGCGAACGCTCTTCCACACCAGCGTCAGATTGGTGCTCAGTTCCTGCAGTGTGGCCAGACGCTCCTTGGCGGCTTGCAGTTCGCTGCTAGAAAAGGCCTCGCGATGCGAGTGCGTGGCCAGCGCCGTGTCCAGTTCCAGGATACAGGAGAGTCGTGCATATTTCTGCACAATGGCCGGCTGATAGGTGCGCAGATGGATCATCTCGAAGGCCTGTATGCTCAGGCTGACCAGATCGTCACGCTGCAGCAGCAGCTCGGACTGGCCGGGCACGGCACATGATGACTCCACCGAGGGGCACACTATTAGGAAACTTATATCGCGACTATGCTCTATGACCTCCACATCGTAGAGGCGATGCGTGACCGCATCTGCTGCCTTGATGCTCATGCTGGCCAACAGCTTGTGCATCGCATTGCTGAGATCGTGTAGGAAAAGACGCTGCACCTCGGTTGCCGGACTGTTGCCATTGCCATCGCCTGGTGTACTGAAGTCGAGCGGCAGTCGCAGCGGATTGTTCTCGGTGCGATGCAGCACCTGCCACTCCTCGGCCGTAATGTGGCTGTTCTCACGCACCTTACAGTGGGGTAGCACATTGGGTGTCTTTACCGGCACAACCACCTGTATCTGATCCATGGAGCACTGCATCTTCAGATAGCCCAAATAGAGACCCGGCTCTAGTCGCTGGAGCGCTGCCTGTTGATAGTGCAGCTGTTCGCCAATGCTCGAGATGAGCAGTTCGTTGATGGTGTAATCCTCGTGCAGGGCACCCAGCTTCTTCTGGAGCTTGCTGACCGGCAGCCAGCGTGAATTGATGATGGAGACAGCCTTCTGGCTCTTCACCGATTGAATGCAGGTGAGCACCACGGTGCCCTGTGCATCTCGGAGGGGTTTATAATAGAGCTGGCCAAGATCGTTGATGCCCAGCGCCGACTGCATCTGGCAGACGGCCGACAGGAGTTTGGTGCGAAAGTGTACTGGCGAGGTCAGATTCCGTTCCATGTCTGTGCGCAACGATTTCACATCTTCCCAAGTGCAGGCAACCTTCATTAGCCAATAGTAGTCCATGTGCAATGCACTCGGATATGATTCATCGATCTCAATGACAGGCGGAAAGTCCTCGCTGGTGACCAGCACCTTGTCATCGCAGTGCACAATGCACGAGAAGTAGATGCCGCTGTATAGATCATGGAATACACAAAAGTATTAATTCCTAATCAAGTTACCCATCTCTCTATTTTGTCTTACCGTCGCAACGTCTTTTGGAACTTGGAGGTGACCGAAAAAAGCTGCTTGATGGTTGTCTTTTTCTTCGGATTGCGACGCTGCACGCTGCACGGATCGAGCGTTAGCTCTGAAACATCTGCGGGTCGAGCTAAACGTACGGCCGTAAACAGATTGTCCAATATGCATTGGCGGCCATAGAAACGATCCTCCCGATTATCCAAGTCACGCCAGGCTGTACAGAAAGCAGAGGATAAGTCAAGAAATCTACAAAGTCTAGCCTTAACAGCAGCCATTCCTACTACAGTGAATGGGTCAAAGGCTGCTCCCTTCACGGGAACTCACTTGAGGGCACAACGCTGGCGGGCACCGAGTTGCGATAGGCGCCCCAACCCTTGACATTGCCGCAGGCGGCGCGCAGGAAGTAGCGGCGGCCCTGAGTGAGGCCAGCTATGTGGCACTGGGCGCCCATGGTGCCATGGAAACTAATCCACTCGAGCAGTTCCCGCTCGCCGACCACATTGTTGAAGTCGGCGCGTGTTGACCATTGAACTGCGGTAAATGGAGAAATGTCAACAACAAATCAAATCTCTGGCGACCGCAGAACTGCGGCTGACCGCAGCGCTGGGTTGGGTGGCTTTACCTTTGAATTTGGTGCCGATGGCGCCCTCAAAGGGTTCGAGTATTTGCAAGCTGATGGAATTGTCGCCGGTTACATCGACTACAACAGAGGCGGGTGCATCTGGGGGTCGCGCCTGGTCCCAACCAAGAAGCATACGGCGCAGTCCCTTGACGCGTCGCTCCCAAATGCCAATCTGTTTGTCCACCTCGTTGCCCGTGCAGCCGGTGACCGAGGAGCCCGTATTGCCTGGAATCCAAATGGAAACTTATAAGGAATGCGTCTTTAATTGGTATTGCGGAGCTCACTCACCAATTATAATGCTGGATATGGAGGGTCGCGATGTAAAGACGGGCGCACACAGTCCATCCGGTCCGCTGAGATCGTGTATGCGTGACTCGGCGTCCTTGAGCAGGCCGTTCAGCTTGGTGCCAATGCTGTCCACGGAAACTGCAAATGGGCAATGGGTTGAAAATTAGTTAAAGCATCCTTGAACGGTTCGCCAAATCATATATGTACATTGGGTACCCTCCAGGGCGCCATGCTGCAGCAGCATTTTGGTCATGGAGCGATTGTTGCTCAGCACAGCCACATCCAGCGCTGAGAGTCCATCCGTATTGATGCTGTGGATCGGTTAAAACATGTGTGAATACTGAATCAAAAATAATCTTATATTTAAAATAAATTTAAGCTCAAGTATTAAGCTTCTTCCTTTATTCCAAGTAGACTGCCCTCTCTCTTCCAGGAAGATCAGAGATCAATCTTGTAGTGCAATAGATGGAAGATTTGTTTATCTCAGATTCTGTATAGCACAAAAAATGTATTGGTTAGACTAATAAGATAGGTCCCTATTCATTTTGCTTCACGTTTTCTTTTTAACACCGCATTTAAAATACTTTTGATTAAAGAATGATGAACCAAGTCTTTCAAGTCAACTGCTGTAACTATTAAACTATGCCGACATAAAACAAGGATGCTCTAGTTAGGAGTCACTGACTAGGAGATATCTTGAACTTAGCGCCAAGCTGTCGTGCTTCTATTGTGCTTCTGCTTCCCTTTGATTTATATATAAATGAGAATTATGAAAGATTGATACCCTCTCAGCCGTAGTTTTACTCCCTGAAGCCCACTTAGCAAAAAGGGAGACGGTCTTTCCCTCTATGAGCGCACTCCCCTCTATACCCCATTTACCAGCTCACACGCACTTACCTGTTGACATCCACGTCGGTGGATTCGAGTATGGTGCGAGCCTTATCCAGATGTCCGTGCTCCACGGCGGAGAAGAGAGCTGTGGATAAAGAACGAAGAAGAGCCGATTATAATAATCAATTTAAATAGAAATGTGATTGGTTTTTGGAAATTTAGATATTGGCGAACAGAAAGCAGCGCGACGACGTGTGCCTACCATGCAAGTGGAGATTGCTTTGGGTCAGCTTGTCCAGCTGTGCCTGGGCAAGCTTTAGCTGTTTTTTAGACATTTTGCTAACACGCGGATGCGGCGTATTGCCCGGGATTTTGTTGCGCAGCTGCACTGGCAGCCGATGCACGGAAAGCTGCTGCTGCTGTTGCACATTAGCCGCGATGTTCTCATCGGTGGCTGAAAGTTGCTCGTGCTCCTGCTCGTGTGTGGGCATCTGATCATCCTCGTGCTCGTCGCGCAGCTTGGCATTTTTGGGCTGGGAGTGGCGCGAGATGCGTAGCTGTGGGCCGGCCGGCGCCTGCTGCTGGTGCTGCTGTTGCTGCTGCTGTGGCAACAGGAATTCCATTTCGCGCAGATCCTGGGCGTGGCATGAAATGGCAGTGCGCAGCTTGGCTACAGCCGCATGCTGGGTCAGCTGTTCCGACCAGCGAAACGCGCTGCTTGGCGGCGACAGCAGCGCAGCGGTATAATAGGTGGGATAGTTGTCCTGATTGTTGTTATCCTGACAGTCGAACGACTCCGGCTGATGCTTAACGCGCAGTTTGACCGGCTCAAAGAGCTCACTCTCACACGAACCGGGCAAAATGTTGTCTGTTTGTGGGTGGGAAGTTGGCGGGTGTTGGATTTGGAATAAAAATCATAAGTTGTAATTAAACAAAAAATGCAATTAATTAAAATTAATACTAAATGAAATGTTTAATACATAAATGCTATATACAAATGTAAATAAACCAGCTAGCGCCCGATGTAAACGAAAGATGTTTATATATATAATAATGGGATATGCTCATTAATTGCCAGCAATTGCAATTAATTAATTATTAAACAGTAATGGACGTTCCCGTCGGACGTTTCTGTTTTGTTTGTTTTTGTTTTTGTTACTGTTGAATGACCAATATCCAATTTGATTAATTATGCACAACAATGCAGCACTGCGTGTCTGTATGTGAGTGTGTTACATGTGTCTATGTATGTGTGTGTGTTTGTGTGTGGGTGTGTGTTATGTGTACGTGGCATGCACTAAAGCAGCGCTAGATTAGATCGCAGTGGCAGGATAGCATAGCAAAACCCACCCAAGCAAACCACCAATAACCACCCAACCAACCACCTAGCCACAACTTTTAATTATGCACTGTCCCATAGTTAAAATGCAATTTAGTCCGGAATAAAATGTGCTCTTTTCTGATTCAATGCACAGTCCTAAAACCGAAAGTCATAAAAGACAGTTATTTAAGAGAAAATATCTGATATTTTCATAAAACAAACTAGAGTTAATAAAATTGTTTAATTTAAAATATATTTAGACTGTTCGAAAAAAAAAAGAATAACAAAAATAATTAATTTAATTGAGTTCTAGAATCATTTTCAATTTTTGTTGTGAATAATGCATAGCTTGAGCTTATTGAGAATAAATTTTAATTTTTTTTTAAAATAACTTTTTATTATATAGAAATGAAATTTATGTTAAAACTTTAAGAGTTACGAAAAATATTTTATCAAAAATTAGGTGTTTTTGAAACACAAAAGTTTTAACTTGTAATTGAACAAAAATCAAATTTAAATTAAAAACTTTTACTTTTTTCACTTAAAGCATTTTTAGTTTTAACCTTTAGGTTTTTTCTGTGCAAAGCATTGTAGAAAAGAATTTTTAATATTTTATAGCTGAAATTTAATTAAAATTTCAGTTTTTAATTGTTTTGTTTAATGTTTTTTGATGCCCAAGCTTATAAAGCTCATTATAATAAAAAGTTATTTTATAAACTAGATAAGCATAATTTTTCGGTTAAGTGCGAGTTAAACTGAATCAGAAAAGTATGCGGCTTGGTTTGCATGAAGATATAAAATGCTGTTGCATAGTGTTATTGCCACTGTAACCCCGCTGTGCCTCCGTACCCCGCAACCCGCACCGCAAGCTGACCCATTAATTAGCTGTGCGCGTTTTGGCGGCCAGTCTCAATTGAGCCACATGTGGGTGGTTGAGTGGTGCGCTGGGCTACCCGCTTACCATCATTGGCATAATGACCGCGCGGCTGCAGTGTGGACGTGAACGTTGACGTCGCCGTCGCTGTCGCCGTTGCCGTCGCTGCTGGCGTCTTCAGCTGGCAGAATTTTGAGAGCTCGTTGAGCGTGTGAAATGATTTTTGGCGTATAAAGTGCGCCGGGGAGCGCAGGCAGCTGCCCATCTGCAGCTTCTGCGGGGCGTGGCTATTGTCATTGCTGCTCTGGTGGCATCTGCAACATCAGACAACACGTGCGAATAATTTCTATTTATGCAGAATGCCCCCCCAAAAAAAAAAACAAACAAACAAAATTCTCACAAGCATTTGTGTTGAGTTTAATTATGAAATTGTAATGAAATTCTTGTCGCTTTGGCCACTGTCCTAGGCCGCAGCTGGCCTTAATGGCATTGAGTTACCCATTGGAAAAGCCCAAGCCATAATCAATATTCAATTCAATCGGTTGAGTTATTTGAGGCTTAATTATTAAATGGAATTTGGTTACAGTTCAAGGATTATGCAATGGAAATTACTAAATGGTAATTAAATAATTGTTTTGAGTTTCTAAGCGGACAGCTTATTTGCCATTAATTGACTTCACTTTTCTATATGTGGTGTGAGTTGGACAAGTTTTTCTGAAATGTTGTTTGATTTTTGATGCAAAAAAAAAAATGGTATAGAATAAATTCAAAAATCCGATCCCTAAATCTAGAACGTGATACAAATTCCTAAACACCTAAACATTTGTTCTTAACTAGCTTCAAACAATCTCCTATTGTTAGACTATGTCTTCAAAATAATTATGGGCCATATTAACGCATTGAGATTAAAAAATTGTAATATCTAAAATATAGCAAGTCGAGATAAAAGATATAACTTTTGCGAACTTTTATTCATATTCATGAATAAAATTCATCAAATATAACGATTATTTACTATTTCAGTTCAGTTTTTAGCGCCTTGTGATGCCAGACAACCCTTGAGAATCCTTTCAAACCATTTCAAAACAGTTCAAAAACTTGACCGACTGCTTGCCAGCTGTGGCAAAGAGTTCAATGAACCCATTTTAGGGCATATGAAACGAAATTAAAGTCATAAAAAGATTACCATTGAATTTTTGTAGGGTAATCAAAAAAATATGCTTGTCCGGGAGAAAAAACACATAAACGCAACTGGGCGTTCCACTTATAAAATCATTATGAATGTCATGGTTTATAGTTTGGTAAGTTTCATATTTTAGATATATCTCTATATATATCCGAAATAGTTTAAAGTAACACAAAATATCATATATATTCGTTTATATCTTTGAAAATAAGATCAAAGTCGAAAATACGACTTTCGCTTATGCAAAGTTTGACTCCAGTTTTTCATTTGGGTTGCGCAAAAGCTGAAACACGCCTTAAGATAATCAATTATCACAAAGATTTGTAAAAAGGAGTTAATAATAATCAAAAAAGCTCCAAATAGCGGTTTTCCACCAATTTTTCACTGTAACTGGTGGTTTTACAAAACCCCTTTTTAACGATCACGAATATAACAAACCAAAATGTAACAGTATGCTCTCAAAGTTCGAGCTGTACATCAACTAATCAGTCAATCAGTTAGTCAGCCAGTCAATCAGTCATTTATATAATAGTCAGTCAGTCAGTTTATATAATAGTTGAGTAGTCATATATGGATCAAAAATGAACACCTACGACTGTTTAAGTAGGGCATCGGTTTCCTGATGGTGGCCGTTCGCATGCGTGTCGTTCCGTAGATGCCCTGGGGGGCGTGGCGCTTGATCTCAGCCAGAACGGGATCACAGCTGGCCTTTGGCGACTCGCTGCCCAGGCGACTGCGCTCCAGATCCGAATCGAGTGTGGCTTGTGGTGCAATGCGATGACAGTAGCTTTCGGGTATTTGCAGCAGCTGGCAGGCTTTGCGTGGCAGTGCCACGCCCACGGGCAGCGTGGACATCAGCTGCTCAATGCCAAGTAGTTCCAGTTGCTGCTGCTGCCCCTTGCCCTCGCCGTGCTGCTGTTGCATTGTCTGCTTCTGGAGCGGCACAAACTCGCCCTTCACTTTGTTGGTAACCACGGCAACCTTTTCAATTTCATGCCACAAACGCAACGCGTTCACGGCCTTGGATTTGTCCAGCGTCCGGCTGCTGCGACTGCGCGAATGCAAATGCGGACGCAGCTTGAAAGGCGACTGCAGCGGCAGGGCGGGGCTGTGCAGCTTGCTCTTGAGGCGCCGCAACGAGGCGCGAACCGAGTGCGAGCGGTGCAAAGCCGGCAGCTCGTCCTTCTCTTCCTGCTCTCTGTTGTTATCCTGCTGCTGCTCCTTGAGCTTGGCATAGGAACTGAACGCACGGCGTCGCTCCATTTTGTGTTATATTCCGTATTGTTTATATTTTTTCTATTTCTATATTTCCTTTTAATTTTTCATATTTTAACTGCTCGCGAAGGACACGCTTTTTTTCTGTTTTTTTTTTTCTTCCGTTTATTGCAGGATTTTCCGTAGTGCGCGTCGCGTTCACAAAATGAGAACTGAGGCAGCATTCCGAAGTGATTTCAATCCCAACCACGCGTAGGACCCGCTCTCTCTAAAATTCGCTCTCTATCCTCTTAATCCCCTCTCTCTCTCTCTCCCTGTCTCTCTCTTTCTCTTCAGGCATAGCACTTACGTAGCGTGCTGTACACGATATTCGGCTTGATGCATGAGGGTTACATATGAGGTTAGGTTAGGTAGCTCAGTATACTCTCTCCCTCTCTCTAACCTTCTCCCTCACTTGCGCTCTCTCTCTCTCTTTTCCTCTTTAACCTTCACATGACTTAGTCAGGAAATATCATTCAGGCAATTGATCGCCGTTTTGTATACTCACGA